ATAATATCAAACCCTGTGTGACCTGGAGCATAATCACGATAAAAGAATCTAAACTCTTCTACACAAATGATGAAGTTCAGATTTTTTTGTTTATACATTCATGTATTAAGTGTAATTAGAGTATAGTAAAAGTAGTTAAATTGGCTACTTATGTGTGAACAAATAAGCAACACAAGTCTTTATTTTCAGTTATTGATAATTTTTATATTCAGTGTGAAGCGGACATACATATATATAAGAAGTTGTCATTAAAAGTGCCGTCGGTGGTCACTGGCTTTGTTCTTGACGGAAACGTTGTATATACGTTTTGTGTCGCTATGGTTAACAACAAGGATATAAATAAGAAGATGTATTTCTTCGGCAAATTTATTGTTCAAGAATGTTTATTATATTTGTTAAGACTCATTGGTTCTAATTTTATTTGTATATATTTAATCATTATTATAATTTTTGGCGATAATAGTGAATCAAACACCTAAAACACTGCAACTTTAAAATCATATTTTACTATATATTGTATCTTTTCATATTTTGAAAATTTATACTTGTAAGTTAATAATTCAAAATCCAATGCCCTCCCCAACCCCACACTAAAAACACAAACACACAGATGAAAGCAGGTGAGTGAGGAGAGAAAGGGAAGGGAACGAGGAGAGAAGATAGTTGGAAGAGGGAAGGGAGTGAGAGTCAAAAGGGAAGAGAGAGATAGGAGAGGGGGAAAGAGAAAGGGAGGAGAGAAAGCAATGAGAACACATAGATAGAGAGAAATGGGATGAGGAGATGGAGGGGAAAGAGAGGGGGAGTGAGGACAGAGAGAAGGAAGTGTAGAGAGAGTGAGAGAAATGAATGAGGAGATAGGGAGTAAGGAGAGATAGGCGAAAAAGAAGGTGTAAGGCGAGAGATAGATTGAGGGAAGGGACCTATTGTTTAGTTCACACACTTTAAAGCCTTCAGATATTATAAAGTGACTAGGTTTGATAAATTTAGGGATTATAATTTCCAAAATTTGCATTTATTGTAAGTTTAGATATTTTTACGGAGTAAAATTTTACGAGTCTCATGTAACAAAGGCGTTCGCATGGGTGTTATTTTTGCGGAAGTTAGAGTTAACAAAGAAGTAGCTTATCATTGGACTACAGTTCCAAGAGAGATAACTAAGACTTCGGTAGATTTGTCTTTCTTGCCTCCAATACACGCATTTCTTAGTTGACACTTTTCACGTTTCAGCCATGTTGAAGTAGTGGCTATCGTTGCCACCTAAACAAAGAAGTTGTCTCCCAAATCCCGAAGAAAAGAAAACCCAAGAAAAGAAATGGTTATGCGAAGAATTATATGTAATACCGATCTACAACGCCTAATTCCGCATCGAGAAAACGTAAGAGGTGAACATGTTCAATACAACCCGGAACGAAAGGCCAAGATAGCACGACATCCCATAGATAATGGACCTACAAGGGCTGCAAAATATTTTTCAGAATTGGTTGGAAAAAAATATTTAAGTACAGTGCACCAATTCAAAAGTTCTTATGTTTGACAACAGAAACAGAAAGGCGCCGTTATCCTATCCGAAATAGATTCAAAACCCCGAGGATATCCGAAACTTTTAAATGATGACGTTGACCTATATTAAAGACTCGCGAAATGCAGGTGGAATAATAAAGTTTTACACAAAGATTGTTCTGAGTATTGGAAAGGATGTAATATTAGATAAACCGCAAAGAACATTTATTTACTGCTTCAGTATAAGGGGTACCCTTGAATTATTACGGGAGTGAACCAGTTTTGTAAGGTCTTTTAATTGATATTCAGAAAAAGAAAGGGGCTGATCCCTAGAAAAAGGGGGCTCAACGGGGCCAAAAGTCTGTAATCTATAACTACATGTATTAATGTTTTCTTATAAATTACTGAAGCAAAAATGTTGATCAGCAAAAACGTTGATCTTAACGATCTGTGTCTAATATTTTATAATATGTGGATCAAATATTACGCAATTAGTGACCATAAGGGACCTGAATGCTCAATCTTTTACGCTTCATGCCGATATTTCGAAATGGGGAAATATTTTGTAAGCAATATTGCACTAAAGATTTTCATAATAAATTACTATAGTATTCATACATACGTTATGTACAAGTTTATTGATATCTGTCCAGTGGTTCTTGAGAAGACTTTTAGCAACCAGTACTCTTTTAAATTTCCAAATCCCCCCCCCCACTCCCTTCCCCTTGTTGAAGGAAAACATCTCTTTTTTTTAAATATGAACGAACCCTTAGTCCGCGGATACTCTGTGACAAATTTGATAAAAATTGGACAAAAGTTTCTAAGATATGGCGTATATTCCCAAAACTTTATGCAGACTGCACTGGAAATAGCCATTATATTCGCTCTATGAGCCTTTGACTCAAAAGAGCTGAAAAGAAATATTTGTAAAAGTCTTTCAAACTGTTCATCATGCCATATACATAATTCTTTGTATTGATTTAAGACTTCGACATAATTAAGGCGCTGCAATGGTTACTATGCTACTCCTCCTTCAATTTTTCATTAGAACATTTGTACACACTTCAAAAGAATATTGTAGAACTGTATACATATTGTAAAACGGGTAGACTAAACTAAGCTAACTCCATTCTATGCACTGGTTTTCTATTTTAGTAAAGGGTGTTGATTATTAATTAACAAGAGGTCCATGGGTCAAAACGCTCACCTGAACCCCCTTGTCTGCTGTTCTTGCTTTTCCCCAGAGGAAATTTTCTTCTTCATTGTGGTCGTACCCTAATCCTGGGATCCATAATTGGAAAATTATTGAATCTGCATAACCTAAAGATTTTCGCAAATTAATATGACTAATCATGTCTTAGCTTTTCTTGAGAAGAAGGTTTTTAAATTTTCCCCCTATATTTTCCTATGATCTTCCTATTGTGGCCCAGCCTACCCCGGGGGTCTTTATTTGAACAAACTTGAATCTACACAATGTGATGAAGCTTTCATGCAAGTTTGATCTTTTCTGGTCCAGTGGTTTTTAAGAAGATTTTTAAAAATACCAATAAATATTCACTAATTGTTTATTATCTCCCCTTAGTAGAGGTGTGGCCCTTCATTTGAACAAAACTAAATACACTCAACCCAAGAATTGGTTGAAATTGGCCCAGTGGTTTTTGAGAAGAAGTCCGAATTTAAGACATGAAAAGTTGACAGACGGACAGACAGACGTCTGGACAGATGGACGCCAAACAAAATGTGATCAGAAAAGCTCAGGTGAGCCAAAATGAAAATCTATAATATTTGTAAAACGCTGTCCCTACTACAGTTTTTTCCCAAATGTTAATCGAACTTGGTACACAAGACTACACTAAGACTCATTATTCTATTTCTGGACAAGATTTTTTTTTTGAAAATTATGTATACATGCATTGTGCAAAAATTGATCCAAGATGTTTGCCTAATCCAAAACCTAGGATCCATAATTTGACGGGATAAAATCATCAAAACTTGGTAATGTTTGCATTTAAATATGACTTATTTTAGTAAGATGCTACTCTTGAAAAAAAATCCATTTATTAATTTCCTCTATATTTCCATGCTTGTCTTCTATCATTTCATACCCAGGTGGCCATGATTTTAACAAACTTGAATCTGCACTACTGGAAAATGCTGGAAAACGAAAATCACTAAGTATGGCCTTGCAATTCTTTACATATAAGAAAAAGATCCCTTGAAAGAGGGTGTTACCGTTCATATGAACAAGTGTGAAAACCTTTTACCCAAGGATTTTATGTGGCTCGTTTGGTTAAAATTGGCTCAGTGGTTTTGGACAAAAAGTTGAATGTTTGTAGTGCATGTAATTCACTTAGAAAATTAACTAAAATGTTTTTATCCATGCTATTATATATTGGGAACCCTAAGATTCTATTTTCTTACTCGTACAGAGCCTCAAGTGAAAGTGAGAATATGTATACAAAAATGTTTGTGTATGAGTTATTGTAAATTAAATGTCAAGGCCTCTGGAGCAGGATAAAACCTTACGTAAAATTATTTTTCAGAATCTTACCAGGAAACATGTAGAAAAAAAGAGAAATATTTCTGTATGTGTTTAATTTGTGAATCTTGTGAAATAAATTTCGTTTAGCCGAAGAATATGTTGATTGGTCGAAGTTTATATCACAGAAATATACCTCAGTTGTTACAAAGTTGTACGAACAAGGAATGTACATCCAAAATGGATCGGTACCATCTGTGAGAACAAAATGTTTATATTCATATTTTAATCATTCCACTTTTCTCCAGGATTGAACAACAAACTTAACATTCTACCTAAAGTCCCGAATTTTTCACCTCCATTAATTTTTTATTAAGAAAATATTGTGACAAAAGTTTAAGAAACGGAAATATTTTCGCAGCTCTCTTAATGTGAAATATAAACACAATTAATTTAAAAGTCTAAATCCGCCATATGCATGTAAGTCTGAAATGTGTGCATTGTTATTTTTTCAATGATGGAAGAAAACCGTTAAACGACTATAAGATTTGCGTGTTGACTGTTAATTATAGGTTATAACTCTAATTATTTTGACAATGAGGAGTAAAGAAAAAAAAATTATTTCCAACATAAATGTGTTTTTGGAAAGTGCCAACTTTTTCCAGTTTGACCTAGAGCAAATGAATGAAATTAGCTAATTGTTTTAAATTCATGCGTGCTCTCATTAAGTCCTAAACCCAATAATTGATGGCGAGGCTTTCTTTGTTCTTTTTCATCTCTACAAAAACACGAAGATTTTCTGTTACGCACACCTTATCTTACTGCATGGTCCAACGACTTGTAGAAGTCTATCACAGTTTTGTCCTAGTATAACGTATGTGCGAGCTAGTATTTGAGGGAGCATGAATATGTATGTTTATTAGTTTCAGTTTCTCAGGGTAATTGCCAGCGTGACCCAAATAAAGAAGAATATATATTCTAGTTATGACCACGTGATAAGAAGGCACTGTATGTAAATGATTCTTTTTTCCCCGAAAAATAACACCTGTATAAAACGATACCTGCGAGCTGGAATGAAATTGACACAGGATGTGATTTTATTTATATTGACCAAGCTGATTTCCTATAACCTAGCCGACGAGGGCGAAGTGATTTCTAATGCTTCATCATTTATTTATTTCTAATCGATTGTTGCACAAGGTAGACGGCTTATGCTGTTGCAACGGTATATACAGTCATAATTCACCGTGAATTCAATTCGAAAATTCAGATTATTATTTTTTTTAAAGAAGTTTTTGGATTGAAAAAAATAAGATAACGATGAAGCAGCGTAAGAAACAGGCGGCAGGTCGATCTAAGGATCAAAGAGGAAACCACAATGGTATTATCGGTCCGCCAGAATCAGAACTTGGATATCGAAAATCTGGGAAAAATCGTGAAAGTTCCATTACGAAAAAACCGAGTTTAGAGTCGGATTTATTCCCAAGATATTCCGAATGGATTGTATTTCTGATAACTTTGATTTTGAGAATTTTTTATGTTTGTCAAAAACACAACTGGTGGATCTTACACCCGGACGAAATATTTCAATCGATGGAAGGTAAGGTATATTTTAAAAAAAAATCATTTTTTTTTCTTTAATTATTCAAAATTAATCATTTAAAAGTAGCTTTATTAAGTGTCAAAGGCTCCGACTTGAATCTTAAAATTGAATGTCATTTGATTATTGGTGAGCATTGTATTAAATCAATATAATGAAAGTCTCTCAAGAAATTCTTTTAATTTTTAAAAAGTCAGTTGATACACATTGCTGATTATGTTGTATTCTTTTCTTAGCATGACGGAACATTTATTGATTTGCGGGGATTTTTCATAATAAAATATCATATATTTTGTCAGTTGTTACCTTGTTGAATAAATTATTTAAAAGACGAGTCCATGTAGGAAGAAATCATTACAAAGGTTCATCATTTGATGAATATTGTAACGATGTAGAATATGCCTCAAGGAAGATTTACAAAATGTATAAACAGTTTCTGATATTGAAAAATAACTTCCATTTATATGAAGGTTTTCCTGTTCATGGCTCGCAGAGTTTACGAAGATAAAATGGAAGCTTTTTAAATGCTCAATGATTTCCTCGTAAAAAGACAGACTTTAAATTAAAAGAAAAATGCAATAAAGCTCAGAAAATGTATCAGATAGCTTCATTGTTATTCATGAAAACCGCAATGCTAGTGGTAACTTTAAACTACACGCAATTCATGTATAAACAACAAAACTTCGTTTTAATTTTCTCAAGCCTAGGTATTGATTTTATTTTATTATAAAGTTTTAATTATTCCGTGTGATACGATTCTTTTGAAATGCAAATCAAGATTCACTCGCCTCCTATTTTATACGCTCAAAAAAAAAAAAAAGACGCAGGCAAAGATTTCCGATTTTGACAAAGCGATTTTTTTTCTGGGATGAATTTGATTTACCAGACTATCTATAAAATCAAAATTTTGTATACGTATAGAAATTCAACTGATAATACTGCATTTTATACAGGCAAAATAAATCACCTTGTTGGAAAACTTAAAATTAAAAACAAACAAACAAAATCAAGTCCACTGGAGGTCAATCGTTCAGCCCAACTAGTACCTATAACAATACTCGAGATGTTGAACAAATTTCGTTTCGTTTCGATGGTCATCATCAAAATGATCATCCTATTTTTCCCTATGGTCAAACGATAGTCCAGTTCTTGCCATGGCAATATTGAGCAAGGTTCTGTGGAATGCGTTAAAGGTCCGATGATGTGAAGATTAAAGTGACTTTTATGGAATTTTTCTGTTTTGTGGTAGCGTTTTTTCTTTGGTCCATTAACCACGGATTGACTTCTACAAGTACCGGAGGCAAATACACATTTAATTTACTTGTCAAAGTTTATCTTTCCAGTAAAATTTAGACTTCATTGTAATGCACAGTAGTTCGTTAATGTAATGGCAAATAGATGTCGTATTAGTTGGGATCTGATAATACCTAAAATCTTGTGTAACATTATACCCTTATTCAAAGAAGGAGGTGTGTTGCGATTAAACAAATTTTCACTGTTGAGTGAATCTAACAGGTGAAGAATATTTTAAAATCTATTAAGAGAATGTCAAGACAAACTCTCTATTTAGAGCAAGGTATTTTATAATGGCGATTAGCAAGGCGTAAAGACAAGATCTTGTTTCAATTTTTTTCCTAACAAATGTATGCAGTGTGTTAAACTGCAACTGCAGCATTGGATTCTCTATATTTCCTACAATTGTCGGTTCATTTCATCTATTTAGTTCGTCAGCATGTTCTGACATAAAAGATAATATGTTACGTGGCATTGTATGATGCTCCAAGCAAAATTGATACCCAAAGCTGCTTAGCTTACACTGGTGCCAAAGTACAGAATCATACAATATGTAACGACTAGAGATAGTTCATTTGAGGTTCTGTTTAGGAATTCAGGAAATAAACATTGTGACATGAAGTAAATTTATGTTATATAAATATTCAATATAGGGACTCAAAATATAGTATATCTGTCACACCTCTGAAAAGCATAAGGTATTCCATCTTATAAACGCTTCCTCCTATGAACGTTGCAAACTACTGTGGAATCGTTAGATTTCGTGGTGGCTCAGTTTTCGTAGAATTCGTGGGTACCTCTCGTCCACGAATGAACACCCTCCACGAATTAATAAACTAGAGTTACAAAGTCATATTTCCTCTTGTAGGTATAAGAGAATACACGGAATTACGTCCCCACGAACCTTTGAAATTTAAGCAATCCACGTATATGTATTAATATATATATATGTTAACAAAGTTATTTTGTGTGAATTATTATACGTTTATTTTCATTACAAAAAAACTCAAAACACACATGTATTAAATTAGGTGAAGAATACAGGTATTAAGATGTATTTCTTCGTGTGGTACATATAGATATATTTTTCCGCTTGAAATATAAATCGTTTTGTTGACTATATTTTTTGAAATTTTTATGTTTACCTGCACTAAGTCCTAGATTCAGATTTGAAATCTGTTTATGTAACCTCGATCCCAATCCATGCTTCACTATTTACAAAGGGATGTAACAAGACCCAATATGAATACGAGAACTCCAAGACGAAATCTGTACTACAACACGGTGTTCTAGTACGGATGTTCTTTTATCCCATGTTTACCCCTTTATCCCGTGGATATGAGTCATTGGATAATTTTTTCATAATCCACAGTTGTGACGTCACAATGGTTTTTGCGTTAGCGCGATGAAGTAAAATAAAGTGGAGTCCTATATAAAACAGTGTAAAACATTGGTTGTGAAGTATTAAACATGGGATAAAAAGAATCTCCCATGATTTGTAGTTGGATATGACTTTTATCCAACGAGTTGTGTGTTTTTATCCCCTCGCCAAGGCTCGGGGATAAAAAACACACAACTCGTTGGATAAAAATCATATCCAACTACAAATCATGGGAGATCCTATATATATTACATCTTCATTATATTTCCCCTGTAACCAAACGCTGACACCATTTAAAATGTTTTGCAGATAGTGGTTGACTCAATTAGATCTGACAACGTCTAAAAAGAATGTTTTAAAACAGTTTTAAAAACTTTACTAAGATTCAAAGATTTTTTTTCAATTTTCTTAAGTTTATACTTTGGAAATGTTGCCACTTGGTGGGTTAAAGATCTGTTAAAAAAGATAAACCATTAAAAAAAAGTGCAAAGCTTACCATAAGAGCTTATGTAAATTTTGCGATTATCATTTTATCAGAGTGTATTAAGGTTTCGAGGTATAACCTGATTTTATTAAAGGAGAGATGATAAATTGGTTTACGTTAACGTACAGGCAGATTTACTGGTGTATTCAGTGATTAAGATAAAAATCTTATCAATTTTAATCTGACAGAGGTGTAATAGCAAAAGGAGAAATCAATTAGGCTTACTGTTGAATTTGAGTGATCACGTAAAGTGAATGAAAGAGAAAGTTTATCTATATACCTTTATTACAGGTGTTTAATAATTTCACGTTGCTAGTATTACATGCGTTCAATCATTCAAATTCTTCTCGACTAATACATCCATATCCTTCGTGCGTGAAAAAAGCAGTTTTTTTTTCAAATCAGTTTCAAAAATAGTATCATGTCTTATAAGTGTCAATATTATGTGCTCGAACGGTAGACTGGCGTTTGACTCCCAGCAGGTTAGCCTAGACTTGTACAAAAAATAGGTATTGAGCGTTCTTTAGCTTCAGGGAAGAAACTTAAGCATTGTAATTAAAATATACAAATTGTATCTTGTAGTCCCGTTTGAAGTATTACGTACATGTACAGACTGCAGTGTGGTGTGAGGGGGTAGAACACACTTTCTTTACAAGCTAGACCACGACAACATTTAACCAAAAGAAGAGGAAAGAGTCTAAAATGGTGTAGGCAAATTTGCCAGGAGGACTTAGTCTTCCTCCATCCCCAGCCATGTCGCATTCATATTGATTACCCCTCAACTCCCCCCCCCCCCCCCCCCGTATATTTTAAACGTATACATACCGAAATATATCCGCTGTTTTAAGTTTATAAGTACCCTTGATTTACCACGTATTAATAATCACATTGCAGTTGCCTTTTCCGAGGTGCATGGTTATGGTTTCCGACCTTATGAATTCCTCCCTCCAGCCACTGGACCTAACGTGACGTCAGCAAGATCACAGGAGAGGATGCTGGGAATGTATGCTCTGAGGTCATTTATTTACCCCAGAATCCTGGCAAGTGTTGGCAGTATTGTCCGTGTGCTTGGTTATCGTGGAAGTCTTTATTTGGTAAGAAAACTAATTTTAAAAAAAAGATATAAATGTCGACTGAAAGACAAAACAATTCGTAAAAGCCTATGTATTCATTTGAACTAAGTCAGGCCCGTAGCAACGCTTTCAAAAGTGTGTGTGTGTGGGGGGGGGGGGGGGGACCGGCATCTAAAGGAAAATTTATTATATCAAAAACTATAATCAGAAAAAAGTGGGTGGGGGCCTCTGCCACCCCCACGTTCTACGGGCCTTTAAGTTAATTACATGTAACTCTAAGTCCTGTAGTAACATATCTCTCCCAGATATATAAAGTTTAGAACATTTCTTTTTATCAGACTCTTTCAGTATAAATCATTACATGTATGAAATTAAGAGAATTCACATGTAAAATTGTATTCTTCATCTGCAGATTTGGAAAATCTTCCACGCTGGTGTAACGTCATGCCTTCCACTTGCAACTTACTTCTTTTGCAAGAAAGTCACCGGAAGTCGTGATGTTTCCGTGATCTCGTGCATTCTCGTGGCATCGTCAGCACATCTTTGGGTGTTTGGAACACATACTTTCCTTAACTCTTTCCTTTCTCCATTTGTATTTATTGTTCTTGGACATTTTATATCCTTTATCACAATTTTATCAGATAAAGAAATTTACAAAAAAGAGGAGAAGAATTGCGTGGACGAATTTGAAAATAACAATAATAACGTACATGTCATGCACAATTGCAATGGGGTTCATCATTGTCAAAGCAACGTGGACAAACTACATGTAAAGTCTCAAGCTTTGAACACAGCAGTGAGAAAGGAATGTAATTTATACAATATTTTTCTGATGGGATATTTTACCGGACTATTCATTTACCTGCGCCCAGATTTATTAACTCTCTATTTTTCCATCCTGTTGCCCTATATGCCCTTGCTGTTTTCTCGCTTAAAACACATTATTTCAAATTTAGAGATACATCTTTGTATAGTGAGTGGTTTTGTTGGAATTCTAACTGGTGTTCTAGAGGACTTCTTGTCATATGGTACCTTTGTTGTGACACCTGTGCAATGGGTTTCTTTCAACGTTCTAAATGGATATGCAAGACGCATATTTGGAGCTATGCCTACTTTGTTTTATTTTGAAATATTCTGTGAGAATACAACATTAATATTTTTATCATTGTGTATTATTTTTGTTTTAATTTCTACTATTAGTAAACCAATAACAGTGCTAGTTTTCTTCAGAAAATGTTTATTTGCTTTAACTTGTCTCATTGTACTATATTCCCTACAAGGCCATAAAGAGGCGAGGTTTTTACATGATGCTATAGTTTTATTTTACGTTTGCTCGGGTGCTTCTCTGTTTATTTTTGTTCAAGAAGTGTCAATACGCATAAAATTGTTTAACAATAACCGTTACACAGAGCGCTTATTCCACAGTTTATTATTGCTATGTTTTATATCTAGTCAGTACCAATCGATACCATCTTCACAAGATAATTCAATTAAAAAATGGACTTATGAGGGGAAAACAGACAGTCATGACGTCAACGTATGCTTGGATTTCATTGGTCAAAAGGATGACGTCAAAGGTGTATTCATTGACAGAGATATGCATATGACGGGTGGGTACACTATTCTAAATCGAGATATTCCATGGTTTTCGTTGATCAATACAGAATTCAGGGAGTTTTCAAAAGATAGCCGATTAACAATGAAATCTTTTTATGGCATCACAAAAGTTTCATTAACATCTAACGTCTCCAATTACATTCATATTCAGAATACACCTTTTCTTTTGAAGTGTATTTTACGACAAAAAGAGTACAATTACCTTGTAATGAAGATCACGCGAGAGTTTATAAATCAGGGTTATGAAGAAGTTTTTAGATATGGAACTATGCGTGTTTTAAAACGCACATTTGATCGGAAGCAAGAGGAGTATTTGACAACGTTAGGTAATAGCATATCGGACAACAAAAATTCAACAATTTTAAAGTACGAAGGTCAATGGTTAATGGCATATGGAAGTTATGATCTTGCCAGGGAAAAATTTAATAGAGCAGCTGAAATAAACTCAGATACACAAGTGTACCAATTTCTTATTGAACTTTACAGAAGGATGGGTGAACCTGAAAATGCAAGAAAGATATTCAGAATCTGCAGGCAGGCATATAATGAATCCGAATGCCTGAAATCTGCCAGGAAAATTGCATTATTCGAGCATGAAAGAATATCCCTGAAATGAGTTTCTAGTTCTTTACTCGGGTTTATTAATTTGTATGTCGTCGATAAAAATTGGAGAGCGATGGGTTTGTTTATGTTTTTTAGATAATGAATTAAGTAACTGTGTTTACTAGTAATAACGTAAAGTATAATGCAACAGACATAAAATGGCATATATTTATTAAATAATTTTACTGTTCAATTTATAAGCATTACCGGTAAAGAAAATGTTTAGAATTTCTTTATTTCAATTTTTATGTGGGATTGTTGTTGTTGTTCTTTTTGTTGAAAATAAATTGTTACTTTCAAAGCTTGTCTGGTGTTACTTTTTTGAGCAGGAATTTATTTTTAGTATTTCAAGGGTTAATCATAGTTCTTTTCAGTGTTCAAACCTATTTTGCAGGATAATAAAATCATTAAAAACCTCATCTAAATTTCTAGGGTTCTTAGTTTAAACCAAAAAGGGTGTGTGAAATAATGATTACCTATTGATGTTTGTTCGAGAAGCTTTCAGTCAGACCCTCTTACAGAGGAAAACACGTTAGTGCTCAATTTGAATGTGAGAAACTACTTTTGAAAAGTTCAGAAAAGGTTATGTCAATAAATCATGACCTGAATCTACTTTATGGTCATCAAATGTTATTTTCATTTATTTCAAATAAAAACTAAGTTTTCTTTCATCCTAACAGATTTAGGCCGGTTGTTTTGTGTGGATTTAGGTAGCGAAATAATTCAAAAGGGTTGAGGGCGTTTTCAATTTTTAATACTGAGTGCGAAGTCAATACCCGTAAAAATTAATTAAATTTTGTCTGTACTGTACACATCCTTTAAAATATTTTACCACAATCGTACTACTGAGGCATATTGCCTATCTAACCGCAGTGAAGTTGCATACATATAAACAGAGCTGATGGTGAGAGATTGCAAAAAAGTAATATATTTTCACTTTCCTGTACAAATTTCTGTAAAACATGAACAAATGTTAATCATTCCATTACATTCTTTTCGACAAAGTATGTTCCTGAGATCTGCCACAGATTCTGGGGGACGGGACCCCCCCCCCCCCGCATTTCTCTTCGCTCCAAACCCCCACGACTGTTCGACTTATTTTTCATTAATTATCTTTCTACGGCATATTTACATATTAAAGTAAGTTTAAAAAAAATGAAAGAAAGAAAGAAAACTGCCCAAACTTGATAAATCCATTTAATTTCGGAAAGAGGGGGGTCCTCTATCTAATCGACAGAAAGTGAGAGGGAGAAATAACCCTTTAATGAAAATTTCTATACTAAATTATCAGCAAAACCTTGAGATTATTTTCGAAAAGAGCTTCGAGAATGCTACATGTACGTGCCACGGCCCAATATCATTCCTGTCTTTACCTTTAAGACGGGGCGAGGTTTCGAGTGGAGGTCCTGTCACACCTTTTGGAGAAACAACTTATTAAGCAGAGGTCATGAACACTGATGGATTTAATAGGGGAATTTTTTGTGACCCAAATTAAACAAAGATAAATAAAATTAATCTTTTTTTTTTTTTTTTGGGGGGGGGGGGGGTTATATATTAATTTTATTGTACATAAAATTATACCTAAAACTCACAAAACTGATCTTAAAAAAGACCTGAAACTGGAGCTTCTGGGGACTTTGCCCCTGAGCCCCTTGGCTTCAAAAAGTCAATCAAAACACCCAACCATGAATAAGAATGCACTTATTCTCTGCAACTATTTAAACCATTTTATCTTTCATGGTCACCAATTTTGAAGAGACTTTGCTGATCGTTTTTGAAACAAAATTTAACAAACAAAATTTTGTTGTTCTGTGTCATGGTTGCCATAGTAGTGGACTGTAAATATGGAAAAATTTAGATTTTCAGCTACTTACAATTTTAATTCAGCCTGTAGGTAATAAAGAACAGGACAACTAAATTGACCACTTACACAGCAACATTATATCTTGTTGCCGATAATGCTGTGAAAGAATTGCTTAGAATATATATCTAAATAGGTGCTAACAATGCATACATTTGGTATAATTTTTTATGCTGAAAAAAGCTCGATATTGATTCACCAATGGTAGGTGAAACACGCATGACCAAACTCAATGATCAACAGTAGAAAAACAATAAAAATATTTTGAGCTTACATAAGTAGGTTAAAGCAATACTGCTTAAAAAAATAAACATCATGGCTGCGTACTATGTACTGTGCGTTTTTATATGGAACCTTAAGATTGTACTTATAACTTAGGTTGAATATTACATAATGATATTGATCAAGTTTGATGAAGAGAATGTCGCTATGGATATATTACCAAGAAGGAATTTTTTTCTCAGTTTTTTATCATTTAAAATTATATCAAAGCTTATGTGGTGGTTTTTTTGCATCCATTTCGTTGTATTATTTCTAAACAAACATATATGATTAGATCCAATTATAATAACAATAGCTAAGAGTTAGATTTTATTTACAGTGTAAAGGGGGCATACACATAATACATGTGAGAGCAGAAGTTGTGTCGAAAATTACCATCGGTGGTTCTTGACAAAAACTTATATACGTTGCGTATTTGAATGGTTTACCTCGTGGATAGATAAATAGCATCGTCGCAACCCACGCTTTGAGTCCAAAAGCTCCCTTAAACCGATGATAGAGAGAATCGAAGTGAATCACCCGTGGGCTACCGACGATGGATATACAAGTCATATATTTCCTTGGCAAATTATAATTGTTCAAGAATGTTCAATATAATAATTAAGAATTATTGATTATGATCTTAAATTAAGGATTATTGATTATGATCTTATTTCTATCTATTCTACCATTGTTGTTATTTTGGGCAATAAAAGTAATTCACAGACCTAAACCTGTACAACGTTGTATTATGTTCCTACATGTATATACATGTACATGTATAAGAGTAAATGTTATGTACACTATAGTAACACATCAAGTGTGTCAAGAGAGACTGGGGTATGTGAAAAGAGAGAGGGGGAGCTTTGATTATAGGTCAATGTGATCTAATTTTTAGGTCAAAAATGCCCCACCTCAGCAGTGGCGTATATTCCATATAGGCAAAAAAAAAGGCTGTAGCCTACACATCATTTTTAGGGATAAAAAGGGGGAGAAAGTTGATAATAAATCTTTTCTGAAAGAATCTACTAATTTTGTTTGGTTGCAAATGCAAAAATATCAAGTCTGTATCCGACAATTTCAAAACTATCGATATCAACAGGAGCCCTTGATTAGTGCAGGAAATGAAATTAATTACTGGAAATATTTTTGGTTAGTAGGAAATTAAAGGTATTGTTCTTTTTTGGATTATTCAGTAAGGAAGTTTCCATATTTTCTAAGCAGAGCAAAAGGAGAAGTTAAGAGTTCTCATTTTTGTTATGTAGTCAACATAACATGACATAAACTGAAAATATGTTTACAGTATTATTTTCACTAGTCAAATGACAATCGTATATGTGCTTCGAAGTCGCAAAAATGCTCCATCCGAACCCCTCCCCCTCCCTAATCCATATCGAGAGGGAGCGACCCGCTACTTGCCTACCCACACTTTGAGCCTCACACTAGCCTACACATCAGCAGAAAGGAATATACGCCACTGCAGTACTGATACGGTTTGATGATCCAAGCTCTCTTTGCTTAAAAAAAAATGAAATTGAAAAAAAACAAGAAGTAGGTCACAGTGTCGACTTTATTAATGACAAATTTCTGAGCCCAAGGATGCATCAATTTGGTGTCCCTACATGTACATGCCATAGTGTTCAAAATAAAGAGAGTTTAATGTTTTTTTAATGATGAGCTTTAATTCAGAAAATATGTCAGTTTGACTACTCTTTAGTTGATGATTCTAAGTCTCATAATACATATGTATCTGAAACATTTGGCTGTGATGTCGTAAATAAATAATCAGGGAAAAAAAAAAGAAAAATCAAGAAAGTAGGTTACTGCGACCTACTTTTGTTGATACATTCCGAAGTCCCAAGATCCATCAACTAACACAATATTCAACCTTTCTGAAAATGAAAAAAAATGCAAAATTCAGAAAGTGGTAATTGTGACCTACAGTGGGTCAAAATACCCTCTGGTCCTTAGACGCATCGACTGACAAGATTTGATGATCCTGGTACTCATAATGGGCAAAATATCAAAATTCTAACAAATATTATAGGTCAATTTTGATGTGACCGTACGACCACGTCCTTTGTCATGTGGTGATGCATTGAAAAAGTTTTTTTCCTAATATAAAGAGAATAAAATCAAGTCATTCAGGTGTCAGAACAGTCAGATATATAGATGCTAATGTAAGGAATGTCAGCTCTGATTTACGAACCATCTAATCGTTCATTTTTGTTGACCTTAGGTAACCTTTACAGTGAAGGAACATAATAATACACAAATAAATCTGCGAAAAGAGGGAAGGGGGCGTCGATCTATCTGTGATCGTATCCAGAAAAGAACAACCTAATGGTCGTCCACTCACATGAAGTGTAAAAACTGATCAAACGGAACTAAAATAAAAGGCATATTAGGTCGGACTAACAATTTGTCACAAAAAATAATTGTGTAATGTGTTGAAAAGACGCATAGACTTGCTAAAAGAAAAGGCATTGACGTACAATTTGCTATACATCGTCATTTGGGGGGGGGGGGGGGGGGGGTTTACTAATCACAGTAAATGTATGTATATATGTACATGTAATGTGATTTGTAAATTGCAAAAAGATAAATTATTTTGCATGTCAAACTTTGGGTTTGAACATATTTCAATGTCATTATAATACAAATCGGATTTGACAAAAGTAGTCGTTCACATTTGTTATATTTTAGAAATTATATTCATGAATACATGTATGGGTTAGAGTTTTAGCCGTGAGGTCATTCAACATAAGAATAACAAATGGCTTGAACTGCCCCGAAGCCATACCATGAACTCATTGTAAACTTTATACATATTAATAAATATACATGCAGTGTATAAATCTATATTTAAAATAAGACGGGACTTTCTGTTAAATATTTGCACAATTCAGAAAAAGCGCTCGATTTTTACAGCAGTTAAGAAGCCTCCAAACTCTCTTTTTTGAGCTAGATCCATTATGACGCTATTGAATATCAATTTAATTAATAAATTCACAGGCATTTGGGAGCTACCCCACCCCCACCCCCATTTTTTTCAAATCGGGGTCGACACACCTTTTACTATTTCTGTATTCTAATATGCACTACCTGATATCGGTATATAATGAAC